CAGCGGCGGGGGGCGGGGCGGCGCCGGATCTGATGCGGGCGGCGTGCGGCGGGGTGTGGAGGCGGCGGGGCGACGACGGACGGGCGGGAGGTCGCGGGCAGGCGGGTGGGAACGGAAATGAAGTGGCGGTTGGGCGTTTGCGGGGGGCGGCTGGTTTTGGACCAATTTTTTTTGCATATGGACCGTCTGTTGAAACAGCGTTTTTTGCCCCAAACGGTTCAAAGGTTAGTTATTTTTACATTTGGAACATTTATTGGAGATGCTCTTATAGTATATATATATGCATTCAAACTTGTCGATAGATGCATGGACGAAACTAGTTAAGAATTCTTAGGCGTACAATTTGGAATCTGCAAGCTTCAGTTCTACACCTTCAAATGACAAAAATAATGACCCTTAATTTTTTTGGAAATACTAAAGCTGTGGAATGTGTATATGGTACTCATGATGAAACCCTTTCTGTACAGTAAATATATAATATTAAAAAGTTTTTTCATCACTTCATTGCACGGTTGATGAAGTCGTTGCAGTAAATCTTGAGCCCCTCGCAGTGGTGTCGCAACGCCAGCTCCAGAGTGCTCATCGCATTGTCTTTCGACAGAAGATGAGCGAGCAAATTCTCGCACATGGCCTTCATCCTCTCCAAGCGGAACCGGCATGCCGCCTCCAGCATTTCTCTGGCTACCACCGTGTTATCCACAGGAAGCAGCTCGTCGGTATAGACAAAGTGCAGTATGGCCCTAAGCACAACGGCCTTCATATCACCGATCCGTACGACACTTTTGGTGGTCGATGCCACCAACATTTCGTATAGAAGCGGCCACCGCATGACGATGATGAGCCAGTGCGCGTGAATCTCACTGTCCTGGACCAGGAACGTCACGTCTGACCATTGCTTGCTAACCATCAGCTGCTCGAGGTGCCTGACAATGTTGGACGGCGGCACGACGATCATAGGTTTGGCTATGGTGGTGCTAGTACTTGTAGTGCACGCCTTCGTGTGGACTTCAAGGTCGCAACGTATGGTAAGGGAACCATTGTGCCCTATGTATCGTGACTTTGCAGAATTCACCGTGATTAACTTTTGAAACCCCCAGGTTTCACGTACCTTGGTAAAAATATCTTCTGAACCAAGCACAATCGACGGTGATTTGCCATTAGGATCACCGATCCGGAACGCCTTGGACAACTTGACCCTAGCAGTTCCAGGATCAGTCCGTAAACGGAGGTAGACAGATATGTGCTCCCCACCCTCCTCCGCCGAGTACCCAGACGGGTACACATTGACCGTCCAGTCGTAACCGCCTATGTTGAATATGTCTGAAGTGATTACTTGGCCAACACCATGGCTTCTTTGCACGGAGCTAAAGTTGGGTATCATAAACTCGTGTGTGCCGCGGACCACCTCCAACTTGTACCTGGATGTGCTCTTCTCTTCTATTGGCCGACGGATAATGAAGGATGAAGAAGGGGAGCTAGTGTGGCGGGCCATGTGTGTGGCTACTCTTTCGTTGATCTCAATTATAAAAGAGCTGCATGTTTCCTTGAGCTCCTCATACTCCTTGGTCGCCCTCACCGCTTGGTACACATCAGGACTAGATGTTATGTACTTGATGCAGCAATCCTCGAGCAGACAACACCTTTGGCGGCCCCGCACTAGCAGCAAAGTCGGCATGACAGTTTCCACATCGATGCTCTCGCATAGTATGTTCTCGCACATGAGCCTGAGCCTCTCGAGATCGTACCGATCAGCTGCCACAAGCAGCTTGTGCACCATGGCTTCACGGCCCCTCGCCATGAATTCTTTTTTGAAGTTATTACGACTGCTTCCTGATTCCTCGTCGTTGTTTGGCTTGATGGGAAGCTCGTCAGTATAGATGAACTGGAGCATGGCCCTGAATGTGGAGGCACGCATGTCCTCGATCCTAACACGTTGCGTGGTGCTCTCCCTCATGTGACCAAAGAGCTCCGCGGCGAAGACCGGCGACCGCATAGCAAGCACAAGCCTGTGGGCGCGGAACTTGGTATCCTCAACGAGGAAGGTCACCTTCGATGACGGGGGTATCTTTGAGGGACGTAGTAGAAGCTGCTGGAAATCCCGGCGGATGGTGGGCGCCGGCACCACGGAGACCAAGCACTTCCTTGCCTCTGCGGCGGTCTGAACATCCTCTTGGAGAATGCCGAGGGTGCAGAGGATGGTGAGGCGGTCGTCGTCGGTGACGTAGCGCTCCTCGTGCCCACAGAACGCATCTGGGAGCGACAGCTTCCAGCTCATACTCTTGGAAATAAAATTGGTTGAGAATCTATAGGCGGCGTCGCTTCGCCACACAGCGGGCGGCCACTGGCCGCGCGGGTCGTCGATCTGAAGGCTGGCCGTGACGATCACGTCCTTGGTTATGTCGGTGCTGAGCAGGTCGAGGGTGATAGATGTGAGGTGGTCTTGGTCGTCGAAGGTGCAGACGAGATCCCAGGTGTAGTTGCTGACCTGGAAGGCACCGGAGTTGATGGAGTGGTACCTAACGAGGGCATTGCCGTGGCTGAGGTCGTAGAGGACGCGGGCGGGGTCGCTGGTGAGGCGGGCGAAAGGCTTACGCTCGCTGTAGCCGACGATGAGAAACTCGTGCATGCCTCGGACGACCGCCGACCTGTGCGTCGACGCCGTGTTTTGCGGCGCGGACGCCATGGCTAGAGATCGATGAGGATGCAACTGCTCGGGAGAAGCCCACCAGAAACTAACCGGTATATTCAGATTTGATTTAGCATTATTGCAAAATTTGCCAAAAAAATGCGGGACTCCTGCCGCAACACGTGACTTAGGAGGCGGAAACTTCGGAAGCAAACTAACTACCACGCCTAATTATAAGTGGACCTTACAACCTACCTCCTGAATACATGATGATGTAATTGCAAACAGCCCGTACTTGCAATGACAGATGTGTTTATGCGTCTGAAATTTCAAAACTATTATCGTCGAGCTAGGATCTACACCTAGTCCATACACCACCCCTCATACACCCACTCACTTTTAAATTTTATTTTTCAAAATGCATCAACCTTCTTTCTAAAACACACATAAACACTTTCTAAATTACATGGACTTTTCTAAAGAGCATGCATATTTTTAAAATTACGAATATATTTTTAAGCACGTGAACATTTTTTAGAATTACATGATTTTTTTTTTCAGAAAAGGGTGACCATTTTTAAATTATATGAACATTATTTTAATACGTGAACCCTTTTCTTAAAATTACACAAACAATTTAAATGAAGGTATGCTTTAGTTTCTTTCCTTCTTCCTGCTCATATTTGTGGGTAAACGGATCGACTCCTCACCTTCCGCTTTGATTTCTTAATATGGTGGCTTATCAGACGTATATAAATTAGAGAGATAATGTTCGAAAAAGCGAGATGGGACTATTTAGTAGAAGAATGAATCATCCCTTGTACAAACAACATGAGGCAGCTCGATGGACTCTAAGCTTACTCGCAACTCGAAGGTCCCATGGACCACGGCAGGAATGGGCAACCCTATTCTTAGTCATAATGTCAATAGGGCATGAAATGACGGACGACAATAGTCTTTCTCTTTTTTCACTCGAGCCAAACTAAGTGTTTTCCCGGAACGGAATAGCGGAAATAGCCTTCAGAAGTGGGCCGAGCTTGAATGTTTGGTAGGAGCACTGAACACAACACCTACTTCTTTTCGTTGTGCCGCATGGCAGCTTCTCTATCAATCGAGCAACAGGGTGTTACTGCGACCTCTTTTCGGACTGCAGCGCCGCCACCCCGAGGTCTTCTGGTGGTTGCACCGACACACATGCTACTACTGCATCGCCCTTTCAGATTGTAGCGCCGCATCACGCGGTCCACACCGCCGCGCGAAGATATTCCCACTGTTGCACCATCATGTGCGTTGCCGCTGCGTCACCCCTTCGAATAGTAGCGTCGTGGCACACGGTCCACTTCGTCGTTTCCAGCACGTTGACGTCTACATGGTATGTGCCGTGCCGCATCCCTAGGCACGAGAACACCACCGTCCGTGCATGGTCTTCGTCACACTGTCGGGTTCTTCCTGGACTAGTTCGAGCACCGTCGTCACGCTTCTACAGGCATCCGACGTGGCCCAGTCTCAGGTTACCTCTGGTTCCGCCAACCACATCTTCATCTTCTTCCAACACCACCTCATCGCCAGCATCGCCGTCATCTTCCCCGACCACTTCATCAACGCCAACAATCGTGGTCAACATCGGCATCTTCTACCCCACGTCGATTTGCGCCGCAATCGTTGTCGAGTCTGAAGGAAATATGCCCTAGAGGCAATAATAAAGTTATTATTTATTTTCTTATTTCATGATAAATGTTTATTATTCATGCTAGAATTGTATTAACCGGAAACATAATACATGTGTGAATACATAAACAAACATAGTGTCACTAATATGTCTCTACAACTTGACTAGCTCGTTAATCAAAGATGGTTAAGTTACCTAACCATAGACATGAGTTGTCATTTGATTAACGGGATCACATCATTAGGAGAATGATGTGATTGACTTGACTCATTCCGTTAGCTTAGCACTTGATCGTTTAGTATGTTGCTATTGCTTTCTTCATGACTTATACATGTTCCTATGACTATGAGATTATGCAACTCCCGTTTACCAGAGGAACACTTTGTGTGCTACCAAACGTCACAACATAACTGGGTGATTATAAATGATCTCTACAGGTGTCTCTGAAGGTATATGTTGAGTTGGCGTATTTTGAGATTAGGATTTGTCACTTCGATTGTCGGAGAGGTATCTCTGGGCCCTCTCGGTAATGCACATCACTATAAGCCTTGCAAGCAATGTAGCTAATGAGTTAGTTGCGGGATGATGCATTACATAACGAGTAAAGAGACTTGTCGGTAACGAGATTGAACTAGGTATTGAGATACCGACGATCGAATCTCGGGCAAATAACATACCGATGACAAAGGGAACAACGTATGTTGTTATGCGGTTTGACCGATAAAGATCTTCGTAGAATATGTGGGAGCCAATATGAGCATCCAGGTTCCGCTATTGGTTATTGACCGGAGACGTGTCTCGGTCATGTCTACATAGTTCTCGAACCCGTAGGGTCCGCACGCTTAAAGTTCGATGACGGTTATATTATGAGTTATGCGTTTTGATGTACCGAAGGAGTTCGGAGCCCCATATGAGATCGGGGACATGGCGAGGAGTCTTGAAATGGTCGAGACGTAAAGATCTATATATTGGACAACTATATTCGGACATCGGAAAGGTTCCGAGTGATTCGGGTATTTATCGAAGTACCGGAGAGTTACGGGAATTCGCCGGGGAGTGTATGGGCCTTATTGGGCCATACGGGAATAGAGGAGAGAGGCCAAAAGGAAGGAGGCGCGTGCCCCCCTTCTGGTCCGAATTGGACAAGGGGTGCAGCCCTCTTTTCCTTCTTCCTCTCCCCCTCTTTCCTTCTCTCCTACTCCAACAAGGAAAGGAGAAGTCCTACTCCCGGTGGGAGTAGGACTCCCCCCTTGGCGCGCCCTTCTCCTAGGCCGGCCACCTCCCCCTTGCTCCTCTAGACACAACAATTGATCCCTTGGATCTCTTAGCCGTGCGCGGTGCCCCCCTCCATCATAATCCACCTCGATAATATCGTAGCGGTGCTTAGGCGTTGGTAGAACATCATCATCGTCACCACACCGTCGTGCTGACGGAACTCTCCCTCAAAGCTCGGCTGGATCGGAGTTCGAGGGACGTCATTGAGCTGAACGTGTGCTGAACTCGGAGGTGCCGTACGTTCGGTACTTGATCGGTCGGATCGTGAGGACGTACGATGATAACCCACAAGTATAGGGGATCGCAACGGTTTTAAAGGGTAGAGTATTCAACCCAAATTTATTGATTCGACACAAGGGGAGCCAAAGAATATTCTCAAGTATTAGCAGCTGAGTTGTCAATTCAACAACACCTGGAAACTTAGTATCTGCAGCAAAGTGTTTAGTAGCAAAGTAATATGATAGTAGTGGTAACGGTAACAAAAGTAAAGACAGCAAAAGTAATGTTTTTGGTATTTTGTAGTGATTGTAACAGTAGCAACGGAAAAATAAATAAGCGAGAACCAGTATATGGAAAACTCGTAGGCACCGGATTAGCGATGGATAATTATGCCGGATGCGGTTCGTCATGTAACAGTCATAACATAGGGTGACATAGAACTAGCTCCAGTTCATCAATGTAATGTAGGCATGTATTCCGTATATAGTCATACGTGCTTATGGAAAAGAACTTGCATGACATCTTTTGTCCTACCCTCCCGTGGCAGCGGGGTCCTATTGGAAACTAAGGGATATTAAGGCCTCCTTTTAATAGAGAACCGGAACAAAGCATTAGCACATAGTGAATACATGAACTCCTCAAATTATGGTCATCACCGGGAGTGGTCCCGATTATTGTCACTTCGGGGTTGTTGGATCATAACACATAGTAGGTGACTATAGACTTGCAAGATAGGATCAAGAACACACATATATTCATGATAACATAATAGGTTCAGATCTGAAATCAAGGCACTCCGGCCCTAGTGACAAGCATTAAGCATAACAAAGTCATAGCAACATCAATCTCAGAACATAATGGATACTAGGGATCAAACCCTAACAAAACTAACTCGATTACATGATAAATCTCATCCAACCCATCACCGTCCAGCAAGCCTACAATGCAATTACTCACGCACGGTGGTGAGCATCATGAAATTGGTGATGGAGGATCGTTGATGATGATGACGGCGACAAATCCCCCTCTCCGGAGCCCCGAACGGACTCCAGATCAGCCCTCCCGAGATAGATTAGGCCTTGGCGGCGGCTCTGTATCGTAAAACGCGATGATTTCTTCTCCTTGATTTTTTTCTTCCCGAAAGCCAATATATGGAGTTGGAGTTGGTGTTGGAGGGCCACCAGGGGGGCCACGAGGTAGGGGGGCGCGCCCAGGGGGGCGCCCCCCACCCTCGTGGACAGGGTGTGGGCCCCCTGGTCTTCATCTTTTGCGAGGATTTTTTATTATTTTTTCTAAGGTGTTCCGTGGAGTTTCAGGCCATTCCGAGAACTTTTATTTTCTGCACATAAAACAACACCATGGCAATTCTGCTGAAAACAACGTCAGTCCGCGTTAGTTCCATTCAAATCATACAAGTTAGAGTCCAAAACAAAGGCAAAAGTGTTTGGAAAAGTAGATACGACAGAGACGTATCAACTCCCCCAAGCTTAAACCCTTGCTTGTCCTCAAGCAATTCAGTTGACAAACTGAAAGAGAAAAAGAAAAACTTTTACAAACTCTGTTTGCTCTTGTTGTTGTAAAAATGAAAAGCCATCATTCAAGTTTCAGCAATTATTATGAACTAACCATACTCATAATAACACGCAGGTCTCACAATTACTCATATCAATAGCATAATCAGTTAGCGAGCCATAATAATAAAACTCGGATGACAACACTTTCTCAAAATAATCATAACATGATATAACAAAATGGTATCTCGCTAGCCCTTTCTGAGACCGCAAAACATAAATGCAGAGCACCTTTAAAGATCAAGCACTAACTAAACATTGTAATTCATGGTAAAAGAGATCCAGTCAAGTCATACCCAATATAAACCAATAATAATGAATGC